TATATTTTATGCACATGTGCATCACTTCAGGTTTTATTCTACTGTATAAAAGTTATTTACACTTAAATACACAGTATTTTGGATACCCGAGCTGGGTATTGAACATTGGTTCATTTTCATATTTTTCATATGGTTCATATATGGCACATGTACAAGTTATAGCTCAAATGAAAGCTCTTGCCGGTGCTCATACGGTTCTAGCATTCTTTTTACTGAATTATATTCACATATCAAACAGTTGCCTAATAAATCGTGGTGTTTCCATGGCGCAGAAGTGAAAACAATACATTCATGATCAATAAGCAGCCCCAGATAGCACAGACAGCTGTCATCTCTTACCTTATGCTGTGCGCTTCAGGGCCATTTCTCCTCTGTTTTTGAGGTGATGTGCATAAGTAATCCTTTTATATGTCTGACGTGGTCCAAACACAGTGAATTATGTTTGATCAAACAAAAGAATAGTGAAATATGAAAACAATGATCGATCCCTGTGGCTTGTACAGCACCTCTCATCAGTTGGAATACAATAACTTTTGCATAGATTATGGTAGAGACATTTTTCTGTTTTCCTATGATTACAGACATGTGCAGGAACCACCAAAATTAATTACAGCACGCTAGACCACACAGAACCTAAACGGTACACTTTCAAATTTGAGTTTATAAAAAAAAAAAAGCGCCTCTTTTTTTAGGTGTTTATTATAACACAGACAACATATACAGTGATTTTAAACACTTTCAAAAGTGTTTTATGAAAAGTCAAAGGGTTTTCTTTAAAATGATACCACATGTTTGCATTTACACCTCTGCATGTGGATTTGGGAAGCTTTTATATTTGGGTAGGCAAAATTCAAGCGGAAATCCTAAAATAGCATTCGGGTTTAAGAAGGAATTAAAATTTTTTGTGCAATAATATCAACATACTGTAGCAAAGTTTTGTAGATTTGTATATACAGAGAAAATATACAGTATATGCATAGACAAAAGCATTGTGTGTACTGTATATGTTGTAGAAAAAGACAACGCACTTACAAATGACTTCTAAATATTACTTCAATCCATAACCCAGTGCCTTAAAGCTCTCTCAACTGTATAATTTGCTGTTACAGATGCTTAAACATGGAAAGGTGACTGTAGTTTTATTCAAGTACTGGATTTGTGGGCTGTCCATTAATAAAGGACTGGGTCTACTTTCATAAGTGAAGTTTAATTTTAAACTAATTTCGAGAGAAGCATGTGCTCATGATTGACCCAGCTGGTCCACATTAGCTAATCATCATCCTCCAATCAAAGGATCCCCAGTCACTATATATAGATGAGCAATATCACATGAGTAGCAGTGCGATATGGCTGTATATAGGCACTGGTGCCTTAGTGCCCCTACCAGTGCCGATATACAGCCATATCGCACTGCTACGAGTGTGATATTGTGTTTATACAACAGTTTGACGGCATAATTGTGTATATAAAAACAAAATCAAACATGGAGAGTCTCAAAAAACGTTTTGTATAAGGAACTACTTTCTTCCGCGTTGGATTCAGATCATACGCTGACAGTTAAACAGCTGAGCAAGCATCTTTTAAACTTTAGATCTGTAGTGTCTGCTTGTTGCTGGCTGTATGTGGGCGGAGTAATACACAAAGGGTAAAGAGGCTGTACGGGTGCTGATATTACTTAAATATATCACGCCTATCAGCCAATCAGATTCGAAAACCAGACAGAACTGTTGTATATACATATATATATATATATATATATATATATATATATATATATATATATATATATATATATATATATATATATATATATATATATA